ATTTGTATCCTTAAATAGAGAATTGAAGCTGACAAGTATGAAATCCCATGATTGTCATGTTTTGATGCAAGTTTTCCTACCAATTGCAATACATGGTATTTTACCAAAGCACGTGAGGGATGCTATTACAAGCCTCTGTTCGTTTTTCAATACAATATGCAGCAAAGTGCTTGATCCTTGTACACTTGCTGCTTTACAGGCGGATGTGGTTGTGACTTTATGCAAATTTGAGATGTACTTCCCACCCTCTTTTTTCGACGTAATGGTGCATTTGATTCTTCATTTGGTGCGTGAGGTTAAGTTGTGCGGTCCAGTGTTCATGCGGTGGTGCTATCCTTTTGAAAGACATATGGGTACATTGCAAGATAAAGTGAGGAATCGGGCTCACCCGGAAGGAAGTATTATTCAAGGGACCGTGGCTGAGGAGGTCGGTAATTTTGTGGCTTACTATATAGCCGTTGCTAAACCTATTGGTATTCCTACTTCTCGACACGAAGGAGACTTGATGGTCATGGCACAATCGGGTCAAAACGAATGTCACCTGATCGAGATAAGTTCTTACAAGCGCACCTTTATGTGTTGCACCATGTTGCAGATGTTCACCCATATTTAGACGAGCACATGGCTAGTTTGCGTGATGAATTTCCATCGAAAGGTGAATGGGAACTGATGAAGTTGCATAATAAGAAGTTTGTGAGTTGGTTTCGTGATCGAGTGATGGGTGGAAAGTACGAGAGTGTCATAGATACAATAAGGTGGATTGCTTATGGTCCTAAGGATGACGTTCGCTCGTTTGAGGGATATGACATAAATGGGTACACATTTTGGACTGAGCGCCAGGATTTGAAATCATCCTCGATCCAAAACAGTGGTGTAACGCTTGTGGCATCGTCAAGGGAGTTTGCAAGTGCTAAGGATAAATCACCTGTTGATGCAGAGTTGTCATACTACGGTCGAATTCAAGAAATATGGGAGCTTGATTATTGTGACTTCACGATTGCTCTTTTCCGGTGTAAGTGGGTTGATAATATCAGGCGTAACGTCAAACATGATGACTTTACTCTTGTAGATCTTGGCCACCTGAATGATAGTGTTGAACCATTCATCCTTGCATCTCAAGCCAAGCAAGTGTTTTACGTAAGTGACCCAGCCGACTCAAACTGGTCTATTGTGCTAGCCGGCAAAAGAAGAATCCTTGGTGTTGGAGATGTCGAGTATGAGGAAGAATATGATGTGTTTGATGACTCGACACCTTTCACTGTTCCTAGACCTGTTATACCAAATGAGATAGACGACCAAGCCAATTACATGCGATCAGACCACGACGAAGGAATATTAGATTGAGGTACTATTTTTTGTTAGTTTGAAATTGTAGGCGTCGAAAGTATTATTAAATCACATTTTTAGGTGAAAATGAATGCAATTGTTAACTTACTTGCCCATTTTTCGTATTTTCTTTTAAATGAATGAAGTAACTTAGTTTCGCATTTTTTATGTTAATTTGTATTATAATTCGGCAATTTATATTTGATTATAAGTTTACCTTACAAATTTATTTATATTACAACTAATAACGTCTTATGTTTGTAATGACAGGTTATACATCTCATGGCGGATGATCACTACCGTATTGGAGTGGAGGATGTAGAGGATGATGATGATTATTCATCTAGGGATGGAGACGAGTTGTATGATGTGAACAAGGAGCCTGATTTGGGTGAGGCAGAAGATCAGGCTCAAGATGTTTTGGATCGTATGCTTGATGAGTTTGAAATTGCAGCTGAACAAGCGCCTCCTATCGAAAATGCAATGTCTGAGTCATTTGATGGGAATCCTAGTGGAGGGGGGGTAAAGGCACCAGCGAACAAAAAGCTGAGGGGTCCTACGAAAAGCTTCAAGAAACCTGTCGGTCCAATGGTCCTGGAGTATGATAGGGTAGGCCAACCTACAGGCAAATGGCGTCGTCAGTATGCTGTTCAAGTTGGGATTTGTGCGCGCAAAATTCCCATTACTCTTCGTTTGAGTTAAGTACCTACAGGCTTAATTGATACGTTTTGGAATGATACTAGGGCAAGTGTTTTTTTTGCACATTTACAAATTCCTTCAATTTATAATTATTAAATGGGCAAACTAATAATGACTGTTATTTGTGCTTGCAAAGTCTATTTAACATTCCAAATGAGTACGCCAAGCGAAGGGTGTTTGAATCCTTACTTGCGGCAAGATTCAGAGGCTTCAAGACCACCTTAGTTCGTTGGTTTATCACAAAGAAACTTGTGAGAAAACCAAAGAACAAGAAAGGAGGTGGCAATGATGATGAAGTCATCGATGAAGAGAAACTCCCATGGCAAATATGGCCTAGCGTATCAAAGGAAGATTGGGATGCTTTCGTTCTTCAAAAAAGCACAAAAGAAGCAATTGTAAGTTCAAGTAACTCTGATGACAAATGTATAATATATTTGATATTTCTGTAGTTTTGAAACTAATATGTATAATTATTTAGGAAATAAGGGAGCAGAATTCCAAGAATGCATTGAAGACGCAATACCACCATCGTATGGGGTGTATGACATTTGACGAATGGAGGGAGACGTGGGTGAATGCCCCACTGCGCTTCTAGGGTCCTCCACAGTGCCCTCTGACTCCACGACCAGTACTTTGGTGAGTCGTGCCGGGGATTTCTTTTGTTCTTTGCATTCTCGTGACAAGAAAATCGGAAAATGGTCTATCAAGGCTCCGGAAACGAAAGAAATGGCAGATAAACTTGTAAGAAACTATGACTTGTGAACTGCATGAATCTTTTGCATATATATCACTTTACATAAACACTAACTTTATGTTGCCTTTTTGTTTTTGCTACAGCTTGAGTACACTGAAGAGCTTGTTGAAGGTAAGCTCGTCCCAACCATGGAGAAGGACCCTTTCACCTTGGCTTTGGGAAAGCCCTACCATCCAGGTCGCGTATTGGGTGCGAGAGGGAGCTTGCTAGGATGGGAGAAGGTGATAGGTCCAAAATATACCAAATCAGGGAGATCTCAGGAAAGTGTGAACTCACCAGTCAACATGGATGCCACGGTGGCATCAATTAAGGAACAAGTGCGCAACGAGATGCGAGAAGAGTTCAATGCATGGGCAAAGCAAATGAACTTGCCGAGCTTGCCTTTCTCCTCGACTACACCGGTCGACTCTTCTAGTCACCCACGAAAACAAGGAGAAGATGAGATACATGCAGACGAGGAGGTACATGGTCAAGTGGTTTCTAATGTATAAGTTTTGACTTTTTGCGTTACGTCGGTTCTAATTAGCCTCGCACTATCAATACACTTTTGTAGGTTAGTAATCCTGCACATGCGTACTTGAGGGAGCGTGAAAATCCAACCCTCATGACTTTCCAGTTCTACAGGCGAGTTGTTTAGTTATTTCTTTATATTGGATGAAGTTTACGGTTTTATGTGCTGTAAATGTTCTTCGTTTCTTCGTTTGCGTCGTGTTTCTTCGTTCCTGTAAAGACCGGTTTCTGTGCTGCTTCTGTGCTGTTTCTGTGTTATTGTTGTCGTGTTTCTGTGTTGTCATGTTGTTTCTGTGCTTGCTGCCTGCCTGTTGTGATGCTGTGAGTTGTGCTGTATTGCTGCTGTGTCCGTGTTGTGAGCTGTGAACTGTGCTGAGTTGTGCTGTGAGCTGTGAACTGTGCTAAGTTGTGCTGAGTTGTGCTGTGAACTGTGTTGAGTTGTGCTGTGAGCTGTGAACTGTGTGTGAATTGTGTGCTGTGAGCTATGAACTGTGCACTGTGAACTGTGTGCTGTAAGCTGTGTGCTGTGAACTGTGAACTTTGTGCTGTGAACTTTGCTGTGAACTGTGCTATGCAGCAGTCAGCAGCTGTGCAGAAATCCTAGCAGTCAGCAGGCAGCAACTGTGCAGCAGCTGTGCAACAGTTGTGCAGTCAACAGGCAGTAGCTATGCAATCAGCAGTGCCGGCAGTGCATCTGTTGTGCTAGTGCTGCGCTGTTCCGTTGTTTTGCTCTTCCCCCTTTTTTTTTTTTACTTGTTTCTTACAAGTGATATTCCAAATTGGTGCAGGAAGAGACCCGTTGTGAAATTCTTCACCCGGGCGAATCTCTTAATGGAGCTTTGAATGTCGCTACATATGGTACTGCACAACCGGCCGAACAAGGTACGGTCCATTTGCAGCCGCTTCGACCTGAGCATTATTCGGTCGGGATTCATTCTGTGGTTGCCGGGTTCGAGGACATCCTAATACCTGTGCCCGTAGAGGAGGATGAGTTTACTACACTTTGGGTGGCAAAAGGTAGTTTTGTGCAATGGCCATCTGCTTGGATACGGTTGGTGAACCTGGTAAATAAGATTTAAAGTTCACGCTTTACTCCACTACTACATTTAAGAGCTAATACAACGGCTTTTTTTTGTTGTATTAGGTGTCAAAAACCGTTGTATTAGACCTAATACAACGGTTACCAACCGTCATATTTGTAAGGGTTGGATTAGGTCTAATACAACGGCAAAATAGACCTAATCCAACGGATTGAGCAATCCGTTAGATTAGGTAGATACCTAATCCAACGGTTTCTTCAATCCGTTGGATTAGGTTCCCTTTTGTTTTTTTGGGAATAATTGGACCTAATCCAACGGATTGATGAATCTGTTGTATTAGGTATCTACCTAATCCAATGGATTTTTCGCCCAATCCGTTGCATTAGGTCCTTTTTTTTTTTTTTTTACATCCGTTGTATTAGCCCCCCCCTTTTTTTTAATACCGTTGTATTAGCCCCCCTTTTTTTAAAAAAAAAAAAAACCGTTGTATTAAACCCCTTTTTTTCTTTTTGTTTTTTAAAACCGTTGTATTAGGTAATTTTTTTTTTAAAATCTATAATAATAAATATAAATTATATTAGTATATTTATAATTTAAATAAACAAAGTACATATAATATATCTTCGTTGCGTTACAAAATAAACAAAGTACATATAATATATATTTGTTGCATTACAAAAGTAAACGAAGTGTCAATACTAACTAATTATAAATGAAAGTTCACTAGCTAATTAATTAACAAACGTTTAATTTGAAAGCTCTCTAGAAGTTGCAATAGATACATAAAATCAACATTAGTCCTTACTTCATTCATCCCGGGGTAGCTCATCGTCATCAAGCACCTAAGTAAAAAAAGTAATGCATAAGCCACAATACCAACAACAATAACAACACCAATTGGGGAAATTAAATAACGCACAACAACACACAAATCAGTCATCAAAGTACAAAATATACAATATAAGAGAACAAAAAACAGACATCCTTGGCAAGATATCGTAATTTTAACAGTTTTCCACATCCAATGGTAAGTGAAATCAAACAAACAAAAGACATCAGAAGGCTATATCAACAGTTTGAGCTAATGCTATGTTTAAACAGCTCGAAGTTGTTAAATACCAGGAACATATTAATGTAGAATGCTGTAAGGATTTAAGCAATACTTGTACGCAGTATAGTATTTTTACAAGGGCCTCGGCCCCCTTGGGATAAAACAAAGCTTCATCCCAGGCTAAGAATTACGTAGAGAGATTGATTACTTTCTGAATGAAAGAAGTCATCTTGAATATTGGAAGATAAATAAAAGGGGAGAGACTGACTATCATCCAAAGATAAAGGTTTTATGAGAGAAGTTAAGGCATTTTAGATGTCTCACATGGGAGATAAGATCCAGCATAATGTGATCAGCATACGACATTAATTATCGCACACCTGATTGTTATGCTCGGAGAATGCTAGAGGGAGATAAGGAATGGAATGATGCAAGTTGTGAAGCGTCTATATGGGCAAACTCAGCATAACTATGCTAGCCCCTTCTATAGTAGGCAGGAAGGCAAGTAGGAAAGCAAGCAGGCAAGCACTCAGGCAGGCAACCAAGCTTTCAGTCAAGCAGGCAAGCAGTCAGTCATGCAGGTAGGCAAGCAAGCAGGCAAGCAGTCAAGCAGGCAGGCAAGCTTTCAGTTAGGCAGGCAAGCAGTCAGTCAGGCAGGCAAGTCAAGCAGTCAGTTAGCTAGTTAGTCAGGCAGGCAGGCAGTCAGTCAGCCAGCCAGGCAGTTAGTCAGTCAGTCAGTCAAGCAGTCAAGCAAGCAGTCAGGGGAAGTTTAGAAATTAAAGTTTAGAGCAGAGAAGTGCAGATTATACCTGATTAAATGATTTTGAAGATTGTCCACTTTGGGCAGTATTTCGATTTGGTGCACTAGATGCATCATGCGGAGTCAATTGCTGCAGAGTACTAGGAACCACAAGATTAATCCCAGGGTTCACCTCGGGAAGCAAATCCAAAACTGCAGCGGTGATGGTAGGTGCAATTTCTTGGACTAATTGTGTTCTTATGCCTACTAGGAATTCCTCCAGGAGTATGTAATTTGACTTTATATCTTTGTTCTTCAAATCACTCTTCTTCACACCCGAGCCATATAGATGCAAACAACTTTTGCGTTTAGGAGATGGAATCACTTCACTATAAGGGTCATTGCATACATTACCATCTTCTTGTGATTGTGCTGGCTCCAAAGCATCAATTTTTTCCTGTTTAGGCAAACATAGTAATATGTTACTAATTATCGAATAACTAACAATATTTAGGCGTACAATGTTACTAAAATAACTCACAATATTCTCTTTTGCTTTTTCAAAGCTGCTAATGTATGTCCTTTTAGCACTTCTTTTTCTTAATTCCTTGTAAACCTTTGCTTGAGAAGGTTCTTTCTTGTCTGGATCTTGTTGTTGCTATATATATGTAAATCATAATATATGAAATTAGAATAAAAATATATGCAACATGCCTATAATTTAGATTTTAAAAAATGAACTGACCAACTCATGGTGTAAAATAGCATATGATTTGCGTCCCAAAGTGTGCATATCATCTAACATTAGACGATTGCTTTTGTTGCTGTCGCTAATTGCCTAGGGAAAATCGAAAACCACCTTTTAATTCAAAATTCAACACATATTAGATAAAATTATTCGAGAGAGTGAGATTAGAATCAATATACAGTACCTTCGCCTCATCAGTATGCCAATATTGTAGAAGATCTAGGAACATCTGATCGGAGATTGTATCTGGTTTATGTTCCCACCTTAAATCATCCGTATCATATGCATAGAAGTGTTTCTTCTTAATTTGGCATTTATAATATTTCCAACAACTATTTAAAGCATCCATCACCTAGTTTAACCCGGCATGGGGGACTATATACTTCTCCTGTTCAAGCTAAAACATTAGTAACGTGTGGAGGTGTACGTGTAATGCAACTAAGACAGTATCATTGTATACTACCTGGACATAATCCAATATCTTATCAAGTGTCGGTAGGCTAGGAAAATTTCTGTAGTTAACCGGTGCAAGTTCGGAATCCCTTGCCACCGTTCCCAGAAAAAACTTGAACTCTTGCACAATCTCCTTAGTAGGTCCAACTGGCTGATCTAATGAGTTCAGAACAATCACAGGACGCTCCTCTCTTGTACGTGTGTGAACTCTGTGGAGCATTGTTCGACCTCGATGTTTTTTCCTTTTCGAGGACAATTCACTTGATATTTCTGTGGTAATAAACACTACATTCGTAAGTTTATCCAGCTTAACAAGTTTATATATATAAAGTAAAATCTCTGACCAATATAACCTTAGATTTAAAAAAAAAAAAAAAAAACTAAAAAAGAAAAAAGAAAAAAGAAAAAAGAGAAAAATAAAACAGAAAACACCACACTAAAACAGAAAACGGCCAGAAGAAACAGAGCTTCACATAACAGAATAGAACGAGTGGACAGGTGCATATTTAGTGCTAACCAATTACCATATGAAAATGAATACAAAATATATTTAGAATCCAATCAAACCAACCCTTCCCAAAAGCAACCCAGCCAACAAGCAACCAGGCAAAATGATCCAATCCTAGAAACTGTTGTACAGATCGTTGAACCCAATTGATAATACAGCAATATGATGACAATCAAGAAATACTTCACAAAATTGCACATCTAGAATCTATATATCAGTATAATACATCTCCCTTTGGACATGTATGTAAAGAAAGATTCCTTGGCAATGGAGAGTATCAAACCTGAACCCCTGAAGAAAACAAGGACTAAGGAGAGCAAGAAAACAACCTTTTTTCTGTTTGTGCGCCGGAGAGGGGGGGAGGGGGTAAATGAATGCTTCATATTAAGACTATGTCAATATTAGGCTGCTATTATGATTATGTTGACCCCAATTGCTGTTCTTGCTGCCTTTGTTGACCCCAATTGATGTTCTTCCTGCTTCATATTAAGACTATGTCAATATTAGGATAACCAGAGGTAGATGCCTTTGTTGACCCCAATTGCTGTTCTTGCTGCTTCCTTTGAATTTCCCGTGTAGGAACTGGATGTTGTTGAGAAGAGACCTATAAAACAAAAGCGAAACAAGTAATGCATAAATCAAACAATTAATATATATAAGTAACCCATATATCTACAAAGCAGCAAATTCAAGTTACTAAAGATACCTTTTCACATACTTGTCTTTTTCCACTACCAAGAGTTTCCTGTTCCATATCAGAGTCTCCTGAGGAGCCATCATCTGTCTGCCTCACACTCGAACAAAGTATGTCGCGTGTTTTTTGTTGCAGTATCTTATTCGCCAAGGATCCCGATCCTTGGGCTGACATTCTTTCAGCATTATGCTTTAATTTTCTGAGCCTTTGTAACTCATAGTCTGGAAGCTGACTTTAGGAATCAGAAGCTTTTGCTTTACTCCCCTTCATCTGCAAAGCCATTCAATGAGAACATGTTTACAAACCATAAAAGATAATAATATGAAAAACAATGCAATATAATATAATATAATATGGAAAGCAGTGTAATATAATGTAATTTAAATTGTTAGGGAAAAAACCATCAGAAAGCTCTCTAGGAGGGATTTGAACAGCATAATGCCAACCATCTCTATTAAGATCTTCAACATAAAACACTTGATGTGCTTGAGATGCCAAGATAAATGGTTCTTCTTTAGAAATTGTCTTAGACATATTAATCATTACAAGCTCATCATCGTCTTTTTCAGAGTGAAACCACACACACTTAAATACGACGACACAGAAGTAGCCATGGTAAGATATTGAAATGATGTTTGTTATTGAACCATAATAATTGACATTAGCCTCAACAGGATTTTGATCTTTGGAACTCGCAAAGCTATGTGTCATGGCCGTTAGAGTGACTCCACTATTTTGAGTTACACAATTAGCATCGCGCTTCATGGTATGGAACCTATAACCATTGACTGAGTACCCTGTATACTTTTTAGCAATGTAAGAAGGCCCTTTTGATAACCATATGATATTGTTAAAGATGATCTCTTGACCCTCTTCAACAATGAAATCAACTTTCTCCCTAAACCAATCCACAAAATCCTTGCTGTGATCTTGAACGTTATTCCATTTTCTTTTTCCTCTAGCGCTTACAAATTCCTTGTGCTCACTATGAAATATAAAAAGATTACTTTATTAACACTACAATTAAAACATATTGAAAACCAAGAGAAAAAGAAAAAAAACTACATTTTGGTTGGTAATCTAACCTTATATATTTCTCAACTTCCTCGCAGTCACAATTGAACAAGACATAATGATGCACTTGTACCCATTGATTGTGATCAAGTATGTGTTCACGGTCTTTTTTCTTTGATGTCCTTCCTTTCCCTTTTATTGGACGTCCTACCTTAGGAAGAAATGATTGTGATGTACTACAAGCATTAACTTGAGGTGTGGCCGAGTTTGATCCATTCAAAAATCTAGCTACAAAGGCAACACATTCTTTGGCTAGATATCCTTCTGCCATTGAGCCTTCTGGACGAGCTTTATTTCGAACATCTTGCTTTTGTCCATGAAGATACCTCTCAATCCCATACATACACCTTGAACTTACAGGTCCACCCAATTTAATTTGGCCCACCAAGTGTAGAGGTAGATGTACCATTATATCAAAAAAGGCAGGTGGAAAAATCCTCTCAAGTAGGCATAATGTTTCAACTAACTCAGATTGCAATTTTTCAAGATGTTGAGGATCAACCTTTTTACTCCATATACTTTTAAAAAAAAGCACAAAGTCTAATCAAAGGAGTAGCAACATCTTTGGATAATGCTGTCTTCACTGCAATTGGGAGCAAATAATTCATCATAAAATGTGCATCGTGGCTTCTATAGCCTGCAATTTTCCTTTCCCCAACTTGTACACATCGACCAATGTTAGAAGCATAGCCTTGAGGAAGTTTGGCATTTTTGAAGACGTGGCAGAACTTACGTTTTTGCTCCAATGACATTCAAAAGCGGGATCTTGGAAATTCTTCGCCACCATCTTCCAATTCTCTTGGTTGAAGCTCCGGCATCAAATTAAGCTCTACTAAATCTCGACGAGCGCTCTTATGATCCTTGGTCTTTTGAGAAATGTCTAACAATGTCCCAATGAAACTATCAAACACATTTTTCTCAATATGCATTACATCGAGGTTGTGACGATTAAGACAATGCTTCCAATATGGTGACTCGAAAAAAATGACCCTCTTTTTCCACGGGTTCGGATCATCAGCATCACGCCTTGGTTTCTTTTGCATCTTTCCAAATTCATTTGGAAAATCACGCAACATTTAGCTACATCAATTCCATTCAATGGAGTAGGTTGCTATCTTTCCTCAACTTTCCCATCAAAATTCCTCTTATCACGACGCCAAGGGTGAAATGGAGGTAGATATATACGATTTGCCCTATACACATTCTTAGAACTATAAGGCAACCACTCAGAATCTAATTCATAATGACACTCAGGGCACGCCAAGTATCCTTTTGTGCTCCAGCCAGATAACATCGCGTAAGCAGGAAAATCACTCACGGTAGTCATCAATGCTACATGCATGTGAAACCTCTGGTTACTAGAAGCATCATAAGTTTCCAGTCCGAACTCCCACAAATCCTTCAAGTCCTTCATTAGTGGTTGCAAATATATGTCAAGGTCATTGCCTGGGGAAGAAGGACCCGGAATTAGTAGTGCTAACATCAAATACTCAGGCTTCATAATCATCCAAGGAGGCAAGTTGTAATCGATCAAAATAACTAGCCAAGTACTATGTAAAATACTCATTGAGTTGAACGGGCTGAAGCCATCTGTGGCTAGTCCTAGCCTCACATTGCGCGGGTCATCAGAAAACTCTTTGTACAAGGAATCAAATTCCCTCCAAGATTGACCGTGATGAGTGACATTTATGTCGCTCTTAGGACAGTCTTTTCTAGTAGTTTTAGTAATAATTCGGTCCATTTTAGTATGTTTTTGCTATGATCCGCCTAGTTCGAGTATTCTACCTTTGTGGCGCGTAATGTGTACTCATATGGTTTAGGTAGTCTATGCTCCCCTCCCCTTTCGTTTTATTACGCCTTGCTTTCCTGTTCCATGATTGCAGGTGTATGCCGTTGATTCGGAGATGGAAGGAACAAGGGCAAAACGGGAAGAAATCCAGACCAGGAAAATGGCACGGCGCGCCACCAGAGGAGCGGGCGCTCCACCTTTAGGCGCGGGCGCGCATCCCTTGAGCGCGGGCGCGTTGATGAGCTGGACCAACCATTAAATACCCACTTTGGAGCGGGCGCGCATTTCTAGGAGCGGCCGCGCCATCATTTAAAGCGCGGACGCGCCATTTTTAGGCGCGGGCGCGCCTGTCTGGTGCTGATTCAAATCCCGGTTTCAGCCCAAATTAACAAAAGGGGAGGCAAAACGGCTAACTAGGGACAACATTCTATCATAGACATATTATTTGAGCATAGAAACCTTAGAGGAGAGCTTTTAAGGAATTTTTCTAGGTTTTTGTTTTAGCCACTTTTGTATTGAACAATCTTGATAGTTTTTAGTGTAATTTTCATTGCCTATTAACATTAGTTTTACTCTTAGTTTTTGAAGAAGTAATTTTGCAACATTGATGTATGGTCAAGCTTGGAGATTGAATGATGTATGGCTCTTTCTTTGGATTTCAATGAAGGTTTTGGTACATTTCTCTATTTTCTCTTGTTTTTATGATTAAAGTTTTTACCTTTGTTAGTTTAGTTGATAAAAACTTTGTCTTTCTTACTATTCCATTGGTTATAATGTTGCTTAGTATGATTGTAGTTGTAGTTATGACTAGTGAGTAGTTTCTTGTTGCTAGGGGTTTGGTGAAGATATGCTTTGAGTTTGATGTATGCTAGGCTAGGTTAATTTGGAATATTTGTGATTAAATCTTCCTTGTGCTTATACTTATTAGCCACTCCATGTTTATGGCCATATGCATGTTGTGGTTGAATGACGTGAACTAAATCGTGACGATAGTGCGACTTAGGAATAGTCATTAGGTGATTGATTATTGCATGACCTTAGCTTGTATGCCTTACGACGATAGTGTGAGTGTATGCTAGCTAGGAAAGCTCTTAATCCCGATAGGTGATTAGAGAGTATTCTTGATATTGCCTTGTATGAGTTGCTTGGGTTACATGTAAACCTATTTTCCGATGCCTAATTCCGTTGAATTCATAGAATGTTTTATCCTTCCCCCTATTGCTTGTTTTAATTGTTATTCTATCCCCTTTAGTCATTACTTTACCCACCATACTTCTTGATCGAATTAGATTAACATTAGGAGATAAATAGCGGTGCTTAATCGTTTCCCTGTGTTCGACCCTTAACTTGCCTCTATGCTCTTTTAGTTGCATGTTTAGGACTACAAATATCATTTGATAGAGGTGTCTTAGTAACGACCTAAAACACCGCCTATCAAATTGGCGCCGTTGCCGGGGATCGAACCCGGGTCACCCGCGTGACAGGCGGGAATACTTACCACTACCCTCAATGGCGCCATTTTGGTGAAGGATAATTAGGTCGTTGGACTAACTACCCTCAACCAAACAATATTTATAAACCTACACCTACACTAAACAAGTTTAGTGGTAAGTAGAGGGTCGAACCACGGAGACGACATAAACACTATCAACACCACCACCAATTAAGCTAGGTCAAAGAGATAGGATGGATAGAACAATAAACAAAATGAGATTAATATTAAGTTAAACCAACACCAAGGGAGAGGGTCAAACATGACAATGATCTTCAATAAAGTTAGGAAATGGAAATGAGTTTACATGCAAACCAAATCTCTCATATAAGGCAATACCAACAATACCATCTAACCACCTATCGGGGTCAAAGGCTTTCCCAACTTAACACATGCTCATACTATCGTCATAAGCTGTGAAAGTTAAGGTTTTTTGCATAGAATCGATCACCTAATGGATATCCCTAAGTTACACTATCGTCATAACTTAGTTCAATCCACCCAATTACAACACATGATTGGCCATTCACATGGAGTAATCAGTAAAACATGGTTACAAGGTATATTTAATCACATATAACCAACATTTGTCTAGCCTAATACATTCAAGATTCACCACATGCTATCACCAATCCCTTAGTAAAGGGAATTACTCACTAATCATGAACAGCTAACACAAAACCCAACAAGAAGAACAAAGAGAAGCAATTAAACTAAACAACTACTCTAATCAAGCAAGAAATTAAGAAAGAACAATAAATGAGATAGAGTTTAGAATGCTCATTGAAGTATTGAAAAGGAATCCAAAACAATGTCACTTTGCATCTTCATCTTCTTCAATCCACCATTGAAGCTCTTCACTTTCTCTCTCTAAAATACACTAAATTACTCTTAATCTACATTACAAAGTATAAAAACAAAAGATTAAAACTAAATTTAAGCCTAATTTATGTGAAGATTGATGGAGAGATGTTAGAGTTTAACCCCTCAAAGAGGAGAGAGAAAACCCCAAAGAAACCCACCATAAAAACTTGGCCAAAAGGAGGAGAGGAAGAAGCATTTAAAAGACCCGTAGCTGCTCGTGCGCGCCCGCGATAGAGGCCTGCGCGGCCGCGCACTGGGATTGGCCTGACAGCAATATTCATTTTAAAACGGCCATAAATTCTATTATAGGAGGCTTCTGGGGACGTGCAACCTACTGTTGGAAAGCTCTTCAAGTCTAGTTTCTAATGAAACTTGAATCACTTCAATCCGATTTGTAGATCAAAAGTTATGGCTAAAAGAGTGAACAAAGGTCAGTTTTGGAGTTCAGGCCCTTGAGCGCCCGCGCCTATCTTAGGCGCGCCCGCGCCTAAGCCGCGCCCAAATCGCGCCTACATTCTGCCTCCAATATTTTCGACCCCAACGTTAGGCACGCCCGCGCTGGGTTTGGCGCGCCCGCGCCATTCTGAAAGCGCGACCCGCACTGTCTGCATGGCCTTGCTTGCTTGCTCCTTAACTTCCTTTGTAGCTCTTCAAATGAACTCCAATTCTCCAAGCTCTTCATTCTCTTAAAATAAACTCCAAAAGCCTACAAAACACGAGGAAAAGAACAAAAACATAATAAAGGGAGAAACGGAGCAAAAGGGGTACAAACAAGGGACAAACGTAGAAAAATACCGCGATTAGAGGATCTAAATAGTGGCATAAATGCCACTTATCAAATTCCCCCACACTTGCCTCTTGCTTGTCCTCAAGCAAGAACAAAAGCAGAAACAAAAAGAAAGAAAAAGGATCTAATAACACTAAAAGGAGAGGGGTGAAAAAGAATATACACTAACTCACTTTCGTATGAATCACGGTTGTTTTTAGCGTAAACAACAAGCCATTTAAACCTCAAAGTCGCCTATGAGGACGAGTGTGATCTCGTAAGGGTTTCCAAAGAGTTTAACCCATAACTCTACACATAAAGCAACACAAACAAGGCAATGCATAGACAAATAAAATAAACACAAAAACAAGACGTTCTTGGTGGACTTTTTGGAACGAAACAAGTACCAATGAATGCACAACTTTCTAAACAAATAAGGGTATGCACGTTCCAAGATGTTTAGGGTTGAAAGAAAAATAGACTAAGCTAAGCATAGAGAACTAAGAGTCGTACAATTCACCTTTCATCCCAAACTAGCTAGCCGCGTTCTCTCCACTAGCTTCAAGTCAACCATTAGGTGGGCTTCTCATGGTTCCTCGAAGGAACTGGAAAAAGATAAAGAAATGAAAACGATGAGAAGGTTATCCCGACGTCTTGGCTATGAACTCTCTCTCTATAAGCTTGACAACTATCTTCCTCCATCGATAAAGACTAAACTCTATAGGGTCTAAAGGTCTTTTATTGGTTGTAAGGGTATGCTTGGGGTGTAAGGTGGGAAAATTTTTGAAAAATTTAAAAATTTGGTGGTATTCCCCCACACTTATTCAATAAACACACACTAACAAGACTAAGAAACAGGACTCCCCCACACTTGAACGGAGCATTTTCCTCAATGCTCAAACACGAGGGATATG